ATTTAACACAAACTATTAAATATTACTTTGTCCTCTGATTAATATTTAGACCTACAGAGTGTAAATTGTAAAGTTAAGTATTTTTAGGTTTCTGTTAGAGGAACCTGACCTGTTAAGAAGATGTTAGCTAATAGAGACAAGTTTCATCCTATAACCAGAGAACATTTTCTAACTGTTGACTGGTAAATATAAATATTCTTATTTTTTATGACAGTAAGTAGAAATATTAAATATACTTTATTACTAGCTGAAGTCATCATTTTTCAACTAGCTAAAGTCTAAGTTACAGGCTGACTTCAGGTCTGGTTTAGATCATTGTTACTTATAAATTATATATTTTGCTGGTATAAATCTGCTGTTTTACATGATTGCTGAGTGAAATTAACATAGATATTAATTTATTGTAAAAACATGACAGATAATCTGTGAAACAGATTGTGTTCAGCTGCTGTTTATCTATTAGTTTCTATGGAGGCTGTGAGCTGTTGTCCTTTTTAGACGCCATTTCTGCTCCTCCATGCTGTCACAGAGGCTACCAGTGGACGGTATGGGCGGGGCTCAGTCTAGCTATCTTTATATTTAAGTCTATGGTTTACTCATAAAATACAGCCTATATTTAAGGATTTACTTCTTTATATATTTCAAACTACAGGTGTTGGATACAACATCCTGGGAAATAAAATGTATTTTTCTAAATGAAAAAACTTTATTGATAAAGAAAAAGTACCTTGTTCCTTGCTGTGCGTGCTGTGGAGCGGACAGTTAGCCAGCACCAGCTCAGCCACCCAGGTCCGGTTGTTCCTGCCCTGCAGGCGGAAGGTGCAGTCCAGGAGGGATCGCTCTAAAGCTCTTCTGGTCTCCTCTCCTACATCTTTACAGGGAGGAATCCTGGAAAATACATCCAATGTTTTCTTCAGTCAATTTTTATTATTTTTTTATTTTAAATTTGCCATAAAAAGAAAACAGTGCATGTGATTTGTAAGTTAKTGTGTAATTACTTCAGTAGCCGTATTGCATGACTGCTGCTGTCTCCCTCCACCTGGACTCCTTCATTTGCCATCTCCATGTTAGACAGCTGCTCAAACAGGAACAGGGTAAAACATATATTTCACAGACAGCACCAGGCTGGAACCATAGAAGACACATGAAAATGATTCTGACTAACCTCTGCTCTGAGGCCAATAAAAGGCATGTTAGTGTCACACATTGCTACGAGATGAGCCAACTCTTTGTTGAAAGCACACATTTCTCCAGACCTCTTAGGCTTCTTTGGCTCAGGGTCCCCCTGCTCTCCAGAAACCTAGAGAGCAAAAGATGGATGGACAGATGCATTTATACGTTCCTGTGGGCACACTGTCTAATTCCCTGCACCTGTATTACTAAAAGTTTAACCTAAATAAAGCCATTCAGTCAACAAACTTGGTTGCTATAATTAACCAAGAGGTGCAAATGAATGAATTAAAACACAAACAAATGTTTGTTTTTGACAAAATGTTCTAAACCTAATCATAGTACAAAAATCTAACTTTTTAATACAGAAAAGTGTGTGTGTCTACCTTTCTCTTAGTCCCAGGTCGGGTCTCCCTTCCTGCTGTAGTGTCCTGGACGAGGTGTTCCAGGTTAGGCTTAAAATGCTGCAGAAGTTGGGCACACATGGGGCCATCCTCTCCCTCCAACTGCAACACTGACAGAAACGAGTACTTGTACTGCAACGCTGCAGGGCTGTTAGGTACTTCAAGCATTTCCACCACCTAAAAACAAGAAAAGACAAAAGAGTCTCGGTTGAGATATTTAAATTTATTTCATTGTACAACGTTAATTTTTGCCTTTTTTAGCAATGTGTGGGCTCAGGAACTTACAATGTAGTACTGTGGAAGACGAGTGAGCTTGATGAAGAGCTTGTGCTTGGACAAACTGCCAACAGGGTGGGAGGGTGAGTTGGAAAGGTGAAGGACATCAGTGCAAACTGAGGGAAGGTGTTTCACAGACTGTCGACAGCGCTGTTCCCCCAACCAGAACCTGTCAGGAAAGAAGTAGAAGTTTGTCTCTTCAGCTAATGTAAAGATCAAAGGCTCACAGATCCTGCTAGGAACTAGGGCTGCATCAATTAATCGTTAACTAATCGATTATTAAAATAATCCATGACTAATTTAATAATCGATTAATCGTTTTCTTTTTTTTGTTCTTTACTTTGTTTTTCTCTCCAAACTGCTTTGACACCTTCCACTGC